TTAAAAAAAATAGATTTATATTGTAATCTTTTAATATTACACTACAATTTTACTTATATTTTTACTCTTTTTTTTACAATTGCGATTTTTGAAAACATTCTAAATGGTTCTCAACTATCATAAGAATATTTTTATTCCAGTCGATTTTACACGTCAATCGTTTTTTCCTGAAAAAAACACGGGCAGAGTTTACAATCACCCCAAACTATTCTATGTATTAGGTTCTACCGGTATTCATTTACCGTTATTTTACCATATTGCATACAAAATATATATATATTTACAAATTTTTAATTTTGAGTTGGTTTAAGCAACTTTATTAGTGTCCCTATCACGAAAACTCAGTTGGTGCCGAGTAATTTTAAGGAGGTTCTACTGCACTAAAATATTGACCACTCTAAATAGACAAACTATTCTGAAAACGATTGCATACCGTATTAGTTTCAAAATATTTTTACGGTTGGCATATCAGTTGCGATCGCGAAATTTTATAAAACAACATTTGTCTAAACTCTACACGAAAAAGGGTTTTAAACGTAATTTAATCTCATCGTTATGTTATTACGTAATAATGGTTACAAGAAAAATATCCTTTTTATTTGATAATGATATCATACAGATTATATTATTTAAACATAGATTACGTAAAAACATCAATTTGAATAATCAGGTAGATGTTTGGATAAAAGTATCAGCGTAAGATCTAGGTGAAACCGGAGAAGTCAATATAAAAAATATAAAAAACAATTGGCTGAAAAAAATTAAAATTACGATTCTATATAAGAATTTGCGTGCGGAAGATTCTCAAAACAATTGTTAGGTATCAGTGATGGGAAAGTTACTACAGATGAAACGGGATGCAAAGATACAATTACCAATCAATTTCTGCACAATCGTTGATTTGCAAGATGCTCTCGTTGACCAAATATTTCCCAATGTACACAGATAATACACAAATCATGGTGGCTGGCAAAAAGAGCAATTTTAGCAGCAAAAATGTGGACGTCAATGAATTGAATCTTAAGTTACAACATTTGTTACCAGGAGACTTGGCGTCATAGAAATCTATTGAAACAGTTTGCGATACTACTGAAGCTGTAAATTATCCAACAGAGTTTTTAAACTCATTGGATTTATCAGGCATACTACCGCATAATTTACATCTGAAGGTGGGATCATCAGTTATTCTGCTTCGTAATTTGAACTCACCACGGTTGTGCAACGGTACGCGATTAGTCATTAAAAAATGAATGAAAAATGTTATCGAAGTCATAATTTTAAATGGCGAATTCCAAGGTGAAAATATGTAATTACCGCGATTCACTATTATACCCACAGATGTGCCAATACAATTTAAACGCTTTCAATTTTCAATTAGATTGGCATTTGCAATGACTATCAATAAGTCTCAAGGCCAAACGATGTCTGTCTGTGACTTAGATTTGAGCACATCATGTTTTTCACACGGACAATTATATGTGGCGTGCTCTCAAACCATCCAGTTTGTTTGTATTGGCGAAAGATGGGATACCAAAAAATATTGTACACTCTGTTGCATTAAGGGATTGATATTGTTTTTTTACTAATATTGTCATAATTAGCAATATATATATATATATATATATATAATTTTAAAGGATCAATTTTAATAAATTATTAAAAAAATAACTGTTTGATGTTTTTCAATTTTATATTTCGTCACCATTCACAGCACTCCATACCTCTTTCACTTATATACGACATCGTTACACATCTATATTAAATTAGTTATTTTTTTCTAGCAAAATATTTTCTAGAAATAATTTATATGACAAAACAACGTTTGTCAGGTCAGCTAATGTTCATATAAAATACATATTCCGAGACCGAACATTATTTTATGCATAAGTGTCTACTATCTACCATTGTTAATATGATTTACCGTGAAATCCCAACCTCAGACACTGTCCAAGACAAGACGATTGTCCTATCCGTATACAAAGACCAATGGTGACAGGAAATGTAATGATTCTTTAATTGTAAACATTTCTTCTTCTTAGTCTAAGGGTTTTAACACTAGGACACCTTATTTTAAACGTTTATTATATGGTAATATGCAATGAGTACGAAATTTACTTAACGGTTAATGTACAAAAAAAAATATTGCAGATAGCTATGTTAGCCAATGTTTTTTTCGTAATTATTACATGGAAAAACTTACGTTTTTAAGAATACCTATTCATAATATAATATAAACAGGATTTAATAATATTAATAGATAGTCAAGCCGTAGCCGGTGGTAACATTCGTATTTTAGCTGTCTAATGCATTCATTGCGTGAATATATAACGTATTTAAATGACATCTCGAACAAAATGGATAGGTTCTTACTAGGATATATATAAAATTCAAATACGGTGGTAGTGCAATTACCGACTGATTGATTAGCGTACAGCCAAAACTACCACATCGATTCATGTATAAGGGTACTCAGAAAGGATTTTTAAAAATTCACATTTTTATGGGTTAAGTTTAGAGCTCTAGACTGGGTGTTCACATTTTTTTACTTTTTAGTTACCTTGGAAACATTTTATTTGGTTTAATATGTTGATTTCAATAATTACCGATTGAGATATACCTATGTAAATTAATATAATATAAATAAATGCAAATAAATATCTTAAGAACATACGACGACAGCACGATTTTTTCAACCAAAAATTGTTTTTCACATCGAAATAGTAATTGCTCAAATTTTAAATTGTAAAATATTTCCCGAGCAAAGGGTAATTCAACTAATCGTTTATTAACATAATAATATTAATAATATTACAACTCGTATACTCTTAAATATACATGTAAATAATAAGCAACTATGGATACGAACCTACATATATGATCAGGTTACCTCAGGACGTTGATGAAGTTATTTTACCAAACGTCTCTGTACAGTACTCTGTTCATATTGATTTTGAAGGGCGACTGTTGCTGGACCTTATTTCTAGACGCAACTGACTTGGTATTACTAATTGAATATTTATTATACCAAAATATCGATACCTTAGAACCAAATATGATCAAAAATCAGACCAAACCAGGTCAAAGAATTCTCGGTATACAATAGGTACACATATCCCTTGGTTTATTCGACAACACTGCGAAACGATTCTTAATCAATTAAATCATTTTTTCCCCTCACCGCGGAATTTAAGTGTTCGAGGTTTTGTAAGCAATGTAACTAAGTATGTTATGAATAGTAATCGGAATTTTACCGTAAAAAAATGTTCGGTAAATTTACCGCTACATTTTACGCACATTTTTATAATAGTGCATAATTTTTTTTACTAATTTATTACGTTTACAATAACATGTTTATAACTCCGCTAACCAATAATATCACTGAACACTTGTCCACACTTAACCTCAAGTATTATATTTAAATATAAGTATGAGTAGTATGATGAATAAAATATGCAAATGGATTGGATGCATAGTTATGTTATAACGTTCATCAATCTTTTTTAAGAACATTGTTCCTTCCACTTCAGGTAATAGGGAAATTGGAATATGAATTATACAGAGTGTCCGAATTGGTTCCCGGATTGATATGAAGGGTATATCCGAGTTGGTTCCCGGGTCAAAATATTTTCTTTTTTCCTTCCCATTTTATACAGACTTAAGACTGTATGTATATATAACATTGATTTTTTTTCACTTTAATTTGTATAATGATATTCTTATAATAATATAATAAACATAATATTAATTCGTCAATTTATTTTTAAGTATTATTCTTATCATTTTTTGTATTATTGAGGTAAAAATTTATAACAAACAATACAATAAGTTTTTTATTTTTTTCACTGTACATAAATTCCATATTCGAAAATATTAAAACACAAATACAATCACTAATACAAGCACTTTGCGGTTATTACGGCGGATTACTGAATGCCGTACTGACTTATAAGTACGACTAGATATCCGTCAATATCGATAATATAACGCCCGTTTTATCACGGTTTTTATCTAAATGATAATTTATTTCATCTTATCCATTCCGAAATTCGTACTTATCAATCCACCTTGGTACTTATAAAGATGGGAAATTTCAAAATGTTAGTAAAATAATAATATTAAATAACAAATATAATTAGATTGGATTTCGCCCTTTTCGAAAGTATTTATTGGGAACCAATTCGGATGTTTGTTGCCTGGAATGTCGGGAACCAATTCGGATGTCAATTTTTAGGTATGGGAACCAATTCGGATGCAGCCGAATTATAAAATGTTGTTTTATTTGATTCAAAGCTGCTGGTACAACAGAAAGTCTTGGCGTATCACTCTCAAGAATTGTAATCCAATTAACTATTGGACGAACAAGAATGATAAAATGTTCAACATAGTTACAATATTGGTTACAATATATCATGTGTTTCATTGTTTTATCTAACTTTTCTATTATCTTAACAAAAATAAAAATGGACAATATAAATGTTTATAATAAATTTAAATATGTTTTCAGTTCGCTAACATTTATATTATCAGAAACTGCCAAGGTCTGGGGTGTGCTTTTATTTTTTTTTAAGATTTTCTTAACAATTTATGAAGGAGACCTATCTGGTTTTTACTGGAAGATTTAGGGAACATTTGATGTTTTTTCTTTTTGAATACATGTAAAATTAGCTATAAAAATCAAATATTGCTAGTGTTAACGTGCACATAAAAACACTGGAGAAAATGATCAATTGATTTTTAGAACGGTAAAAAAAATGTCGGTAAAATTTACGTAAATTTAACTTACCGGTAAAATTTACCCGGTAAATTTACTGAGCTCCCATCTATAGTTATGATTAAATATAACGAATCTTGTCAAAAACATTCAGTCAAGACAGCCGCCATATTGAAGTTCACAGTAAATACATTTTGTTTAAAGAAAAATATCGATTTTATTATTATAATATATTACAAAAAACAAATATTGCCTTATATACATGTACAAATTAACAAACGATAAAATGAAAATAATAATATGTTTTAAGTAAAAATAAAAAATAATAGACAAAAACAGTATAATATATGTTTTTACAAAACGTATGCACGCGTGAAACGATCGGCCAAAAATTGGCGCTTTCTGTCGGCCATCACGGAGAACAGAAGATTTTAATTCATGGACAAAAAATATTTAGTCAATTTGTATATAAATTATCAGCGTGTTACATTCTGAACTGCCGATTTTATTACAACTAAAACCGTTAAGACGTAAACAAATCAAAGGGAAAATGAAACAAATAAATTGTACAATAATAATAATTCTCCATCCCACGTCGATGTTAGGAGTTAAACAATATATATATAAAAAAAAAGTGATTAGGACCTACAATATATAATATTGAGAAAAGATTAATTTTATGATTTTTGGACATAAAACATAAAAAAAAAAAAAACGTTATCTTACACTTATGCGCAAGTGAGCACTGGAGGGTTGAACGTAACACTCAATAATATAATAATATAACAGACGGAACACGGCGGGTAAAGTAGTTTAAAAAAAAAAAAAAAAGTATAGCGAAGACGCGGACTGATCATACAAAATAATATTGTGGGAGTACGAGCACGGTACACGTTGTTCCTAAGGGGCGGTGCGGGAAAAGCGTCGGAATGCCGGGTTCAGGACGAAACGGCGGATGACTTTTGGGCGGTGATTTTTCTGCGTCCCTTCGGAGAGGAATGCGATGCCCTCGGGGGGTGGAACGTGTGCGTGTGTGTATATCGTTGCACGGCGAAAAGTACGCGATAATGCCGCGCACGTAACATGGCGCAGGGGTGAGAGACGGGGTGTGTGACGCCGTGGCCGCAACAACCATTTCCCGTTATCTTCGTCGGCTTCCACGTGTATCATTACCGTCTGCGTTCGGGCAACGGCGACGTCGCGTTTTACTTGTACGAGTTTTTCCATTTCCTTCCGCCCTCGACTCTTATCCTTCCCTTCGCGGTCCACCGTACACGTCGTACGTTACTTATACGGTATAATACGTACGTGCGAAAACGTCGTCCTTTGACGATAACACGCGCACGTGTCGCACAGTCCGCCCACACGCCCGCCCGCGGTCACCGTCGTCGAGGCTCCGACCTCGGCTATTCGGATCTTGCGCGCGGCACGTGTGACGGGTGGCTTTCGCCAGGACGACACGTCCGCAATGATTACAATAATAATAATTATTACAATACAGTAACCGCGTGCGGTGAAATCGAATCGAGGGAATTTTAACGACGATAACAGTACGAATATAAATAATAACACGTGGACGTGAGCGATCCGATTTCATCTGCACCGGGTGATTTTGGAAAGTGGAATGCGGCTTGATTCTGAAAAAAAAAACAGTAAAATTATATATTATTATAGAGAACAAGTACAGAGCGCGTATCAATCAAGTACCTTGTATTACGCTGCGAAAAGTTTAACACGTAATACAATTCGCGTGGGAGATTGCGCAACAATTTCGCGTAGGTATAACCTATATAAGACTTATAAAAACAGTAGTTCGTCAAACTATACCGTTATCGTTTTCGAGTTGATATTTATGTTACGGCTAGTGTCCGAAGGACAGATAATATTAAGATTAGCAGGCTAATTTTAAGTTTAGAAAATGCTTATGTCAAAATTTCGAACTTCAGCCACCAAAAACAAATGGATAATCATAACACAAGTCAATAAAACTAACATTATCCAACCGTTATCGGCTAATGACTAAATAACATTAGCCATAGGTAAATTAAAAATTTAAAATCATTTACAATAACAATACAATATTTTGAAATTGTAATTTTTAATGAATATTAATATGTTGGGTAGTTATATAGAGGTGAGTGTACGTGGTAAGTAAAATATTTTCATTAATATAAATATTATACAGTTTTTTGCGTTTTGATATTATTTTAAAATTGATATTGTTTGCATGCAGTTGCATACAATATTGTGTGCTCTATTAACGACAGTCCTTAATAATCTACCGTAATTACCGACTCAAGTTTGTAAGTAGTTAAGATACCAGCTTGTAGTACTTTGTAGGTATATCTTGTTTTCAAGCCTGGGAGTTACTAAATTAAAAGTTAAGTTAAATTAACTTATTAACTTAACTCATTTCCTTACAAATTAATTTGAAATTAACGTATTATTTTTTCGTTTATCCCAATTAAGTTAATTTTGATTTTCAAGACCAGAAAAATATTTTTGTAAAATATCGCATTCGATAATAATTTCATGGAATTTAAAAAAATATAAAAATAAAAATTTCGAAGAATTTTTAGATGAGACCATAATATTTATCTTATAATTAACTATTGATAGGGGTTTCACCGTTCTCGGGAGAAGTTTCAATCGTCTTCAGACTATTGAGTAAAAATAGTCATGCCACCCATGAATTCCATTACCATTGTTATGAAAAGTGGTCGTAAATCTAAATAATAAATATACTCCATTAATATTAAAATTATTCCATAATCTATGAAATTATTAAATATTATTGAATAAGAGAAGAAATGAAAGAACTTTAGTACGACATAAACCGTTTAATTATTTGTTTGGATAATGTTGTTTAGACAGTAGCCAAACGCAGTGGTTAAACTTGTGATTAGCCGGTTTAACTTGAGTTTAGCCATACTTCTAATACTAGCTATAACATATATATATATATATAAGTACGTGAGTTATATTGTGTTCATTTTTGGACATCCGATGACTAATATAGCGCAATAGACTAGAGTACGAGAAAAAAAACAGTTATAGACCAACAACCCATAGGGAGATGCTCGTCACATAATTTACTAAAAGTCAAATAGTCAAAGAATTTAATTCTTAAGCGTTTTAAATGTTCGTCAAGAAATTAAACTACATGTCTATTACGATCTAGGAAATTAAAAATAAATGGAACGTTTTTATATTATAATCGAAATTATATATTCTTATTAATTATTTATTGTCTTTTCCATTTAAATATTAATACTCCTACAGTTAAATACACATAATCCAACAAAATAATAATAAAACAGCCAAAGGTTTTCGCCTTAGAAAAGTAAGGTACGAGTTTTTTTGTACGACACTATTACCTACCTGTATAAATTCGTCGTCAACGGAGAAAATTCACCTACATGAAAAATTGGTAAAACGATGTTTTGGTATCCCTGGATACAGAAAAAATAATCATTAATGTAAGAAAATCTCTCAATTAAATATAGAATATTTATATTTACGCAGAGAAAAATACGAGGAATGCACAAATCCGACATAAAAATCCGTCGTTTTACTCAAAGCATGTGTTGGGTTCATTGCTCACACATCGATTTTGTTTCTTACGATAAAATATTGTAAGGATATTTTATCGTGAAACGTTGTTTGCACACTCGCTATTTTTTGTCAGTCAACGTTCTTGTTCATATCATTATTTCTTATCACAATCATTCTCTCGCTACATTATATTACAAAAAATAGTTTAGTATTTTTGTCCCTTTCCGAGTGTTTCTCGTTGTACTCCGATCCTTATAAATATTTAATGTCTTGTCCCATAACTCGAGTGTCTCACTTGTACTAATGAAATCAGAATTTCGTTATCAATATATTCACTCTTTTTTTTTTATGGGAGGAAAAACAAAATTTTACTAAAAGTCAAATTTGGCCGTACGTGAAAACGTACTACAAAATACACAATATAAAAAAGACGATTTTTTTTGAATAATATACTGTAATATTAATAAAAATCATAAAAGTGATATTAATTTCAAACGATTAAATAATTAACTCAAGTCACGTGGTATTGGACGAATAGAAATCGTGGTGTGTGCGAGCTTGTATTTGATAACGTGCAATCGTCGATCGCAGTGGCAGTGGACATCAGCGAGACGGCGATCGTATCGGGCTGTGTAGCTATCGGGTCGAATGCAAGCTCCAGAGGCGACCTGGGTATCGAGGGGCCTGGGGGTTAATCAACTGAACCTATTATTATCACATTTCAAATAATAAATATTTTCAGTTAATAGTGCTTAATTAATCTCAATTTAGATTAGTCTTATAGTAAATAAACGGTTTTTAGGTTCTATATTTTGATAATAAATTTTGTATACGGGTATTTATATATAATTTGTATTAATATGATACTATCAAGGGCTTAGGAGACGATTGCCTTTTTGTCTCCCTGGCGAGTCCACCCCGAGAAAACTCTCATTTACTTCTTTATGACACTATAAAATCATGATCGAACGACTTTTTGTCGTACGGACAAAATCGATTTTTGTGTAATGGGCCTTACTGTTTCTTCCCCCTGCAAGTCAAAACGTGTTGTTGCCGCATGTTAGATTCTAACAGTTAGAACCAAAATGCAGTATTGACCCATGTGATGGTAATTGATTACATTTCATATCGTCTTTTAACGAATAATATATAATACGTATAAAATGGGCAAAACGAAGTTTTGGTATCCTTGGATATAGAAAAAAATTATCCCACATTTTTATTTTATGATCAGTGGCATATCAAAAAAAATTATTAAATCTTTAAGGTATTAGACAGTCTTAAACGTTCTTAAAATATCTCCTGCCTATGTGTATTAAAATAGTAATCGGGATTCACATAGGAAGTATTGTCATATCTATTTGATACAGTGTCGTAGGAATAACAAAAATTTTACTAATATTTTTATGTAGATTGCAATGAATCGTGGCAGTTATTAGAATTATTTACATTACACGAAGTTTAAATAAATTAATTTGTGTACGTAAGAAATATTTAGGTTATTTAAAGTATTACAAACATTTTACTAATTTCCTGAAAAATTCTTAAAAATCACTTACATGATTTTTAAAATTAGAAAAAAAAATATTGACGGCATTTATTTTATTTTAAATAAAATCTAAGAAATACATTCCATAATTTTTTTTTTTTTGATAAACATGTTTATTTCACGAATATTTGATGAGTATTTTCTTAATTTAATAAAATAAAAAATGTTAAAAAAGTTTTTCGTCTCTAGTAAAAAATTGAGCTTCGGAAATTGAGTTCATCGGAGATCTTTTCTTGTCAATGATATTATCATATAAGATTGAAGTCTACCAATATTTTGTGATGCCAACATAAAGTCATGTGGTAAATCATGATAAAAAATAAACCATCCCAACAACGTAAAATTAAACGGTTCCAATACTTTGATGAACTATACGACGACGACGTTGGTATCGCACGTTAAAAGTAAATATTAGGAGTGTTGGCTAGAGCATTACGGGGGTAGTAGGCCTTAAAGCTTTATACTTCTTCGCTCGATGTGTTATAATTATTAACGGAAATGCCGAGATTGTAATACAATGATCGAGCGAGTGTGCATGTGCATTCGGCGCGATTTTATTTTGAAACTCAATTAAAAGTAATACGGTCGTGTACGACGATGCTCAACACCTCGACGAAGCGAGTGGTAATACGTATACATATACATCGTACACTCTTCAGCAGTTAACGGTTATATTACGATTCGAACACCGTCGCAAGAGTAAAATTGCAACGCGCGATGTCAATGCGGCCATTTATTAATTATTTTATTAATTTACAAGGTTACTAGAAAAATCATTGTCTACCGATTGTCAATGCTATCGTATTACATTACATGGTAACTATATATATACACACACATATATACATACACAACGTGAATTATATGCCGTTGCACGTAAATTGATTTATTGTTTTTGAATAATTGCGTTCACATCAAACGAGTGTAATCGATTTCCGAGTAGGTATATAATACGGTGGCGACAAAGATAAAAGGATTATTCGCATCAATACCGACTAACCGAGACGGATGATTAAAATAAAGGAAAAGTCTGTACTAAAAACCATAATCTATGTGGCAAGAAAATCCTGCTATTGCGCATCGCATCGACTTACACTCGTATACATACGAATAAACATAATATACGATACAGGCAAAGACGATGATACGGTTCCTTTGAGTCGATCATAACGTTCTCGTCGGCTCCCCTCTCATCACGTCTGTGCACACCATCTCGGCGGCGGCGGAGGCGGCGGCGATGAGCTAATCAAATGCTTAACGGTCGCGACCGGATCTTTTTCTTTTCCCGCTTTCGCTCAAAGCCGCCCGCAGACATTTTTGTCAAGAGAGAAGGGGCAGTGAAATCCACAATTGTATATGGACCATAGAGTGATACTCTATGATATGGACCTTCAACCATGATTAAAACCAAATACCGAATAGTGATATTGAAAACTGACGAACAGTTTTGTGTCACCTTATTGACTAATAAGTCATCCTCCTTATCGACCTCCAAGACTGCTACATAAAATGCAAATAAATGCAATACATTTCTATACAAATTATTATCTAAAGGAGCACGAGGAGGGGCTCCCCTGCACCCCCCAGTGAAAGGGCTTGCTCTCACTAGTATAATCAAAGCAGATGGCGGCGAATGAAAGAAACGAATAGTGTATGTAATCGTGGCTCCTTTAATACGCGAGTTCAGAATAGTGTGTGCGTGGTCGACGATATTAATGTGTTTCTCGTTGGATAAACGCATTAAAAGAGAGTGGGTCGAAAAAGCAAAAATAAAGGTCTGGCGCGAGCGGATACTCGTACAGCAGTTTTTCGACCGACAGAACTCTCGCTGACACAATATATATATATTTAATGATACATGTATACATATTTATTTATATAAATGCGAGCGGGCGAGGGAACGCAAGAAAAATCGATAATTTCTTCTGCCGACGTGATAAACCGAAATAACGTACATTAATGTATTATTCACACATGGTAAATTTGCATTTCACAAACATAACATAGCCGTAGTACGTGTAACCGTGTACGCCAACTTTGGCCAAAAACGCGTATTTGTCGGCTCGTACGTATATGATTTTGTAACGTTAATTGTTGTACGTTTAGAAAGAAAAAAAACATTACCAACAGGTGCGATACCGAATTGTATACGTACAATGGACATAATTTATGCGTGTTGTGGATGGACGCGGAAAGATTTATGTGTGCTTTGATTACCATACGTATGAATAATATATATAACGTATATTTTTTCTAGGCAACATGCCACCCTTACACGTACTCTTCGCGGTGTATACGGTTTTATTATAATATTTAGGGTTTGGATTTTATAGCACGAAGAAAGTATCGAAATACAGGACGATTGAGATCTAAAAAAAATTTTAAAATGAACTTGAAAAATAACGATTTAATTTATTTCTCTTCTCTTGTTATTAATAGAATAAAAGAAAATCGTAAAAAAATTGAAACGGAAAGTTTACAAAAAATGTTTTCTTTAAATATTATTAAAAAATATATAAATAAAGAACAATCGTTTAAAATACTGAAAAAATGGCACTACGAAAAAACTGAAATCTTAAAAACGTGCAAAAAAAAAAAAAAATGAATGTAGTAAAAAATTGTTGATTTTAAATTGTTACGTTCCACGAAACCGATTTATGCACTTAGATCACTCTGCTATTTTTATCAGTACATTATTTCGCGACGAATAGCATATGCAGGGGCAGAACATTTTAGAGGGTGTAATTTTTGTAATTATTAACAACTAATTTGATATTTTCAACTTTGTTAAACATTGTTATTAGGTTAACACTCAATAAGTATGATTGTATATTAATTATTAGAAAAAAAAATTTTCGATAAGAGTATTTGATTATTGATCCATGATAGGGCGTAATTTTAACATTTTCCCCGGGCGTAAGAATTCTTAGTTCCAATTCTGAGCGTATTCTAGGTATAGAAACCGAGCCCGGCGTTGTTTAATTTCAAAATGCGTTCCGAACCTGGGTCGGCTGCCCGGTGGCGAGTTTTCGAGGCACGTTCTTTTCTTCTCTCGACCGGCCGGGACGAGGGATCACAACGACAACAACGTTTGACACCACGTCGTCGTCGCCACCGCGGAGATTCCACTCCACCGAGCGTCAAATTAAACGTACCCGCGCGGACGATTATGAATTTCTGCGCCGGAGTGTTAATTAACGCGGCCGCGACGCGACCGACGGGCCTATGGAAGTTTTTCTCGCGCTGTCGTTTGCAGAACGCACGTCTCACGCGCGGTTTTCGTCGGAGCAGAAGATATTGTTCGCCGAAGGAGAAAAATTATCGGGCGGGATAAAAAGTAAAATAAAA